CACCCACCACAACACCCAGCTATTTTTTGGTTGCAGCCGTCATTGTTGTTTGGCGGGCCCGGGCTGGGGATTCGAACCCGCCACCCTAGGTGTATGTGGCTGGCGCCTTAGCCGCTTGAGCCACAGGCGCCGAGCCAAATACCCTAAATCTTAAGAACTGCATTTCATGCTTCTACTTAGAAGACTTAAAGGCAGCTTAGTAGAGTTTATTTTGTGTTTTATCTCATTTTAGAAAACAGTCTCTAAGAAATGTAAATAAAAAGTATGGTTCCTGGCCATGTCCAGTCACTTTTGAGTGGCTGGTCTTCCTGAACCACCCTTGCAGAAGAGGTCTGATCCTGAGTAGGGCATCTTACTTACAATGGGCTAATCACTAAAAGACATTTTCTCAGGCCTAATTCTAGAGGATGGCTATGGAGTTTTGAATTTCCCTATGATTTTTTTTTTTGACCTGCTTCAAATCTGTTGGATGGAACTTATCATTTCATTGATCATTGACTTGCCATGGCACTTAACGTTTTTATATTATAATTAATTATGGGCCAGGCACATCCTGTAATCCTAATATTCTGGGAGACTTGCACTCAGGAATTCAAGACCAGCCTGAACAAGAATGAGAACCCGTCTCTGCAAAAACAAAAATTAGCCAGGCACTTTATCATCAATGCATTTTACTGGCTGGTAGTGGGTGCCTGTCATCCCAGCTACTTGAGAAGCTCAGGCAGGAGGATCATTTGAGCCCAGGGGTTTGAGGTTGCTGTGAGCTAGGCTGACACCATGGCACTCTAGCCTGGGCAATAGAATGAGACTCTCAAAAAAAAAGAAAACTAATTACATGCATATCTGTCACTCTAGCAGTCATGCTGTTGTCTTGGGAACCCTACAGAATATCTGGTAGGTAAGCAATGCTTATTTAATAGACATTACATGAGGTGAATTCCTGATGAAGAGAAGTCTTACCACTTCCCCAAGGGGTGTTCTGTGTTCCCGGATCCAAGGGTAAGGGCCTCTTAGCTGGAGGAGCTGGACCTGGGAAACCCATAAATGCCTGAACCACAAGATGTTGGTGGGCGTATTGAACCTGTGTAGCCAGCGACATTGATTGTGTAGCCTATGGGCCAAACACGGTAACCATGTAGTCAATCTCACAACCCTATGAAGAGGTGCTATTACCCCCACTCTAATATAACAAACAAGGGAAATTGAAGATAGGTTAAAGTTTGTCCAAAATCATGGAGCTAGAAATTGGCAGAAATGCTATCTGAAGCCTGGACTGTCTGAATCAAAAACCCATATTCTTTCCTCTACCCTATGTCACACTTAATCCAAACTTGGCTCTCTCAAAATACAGGACTGGGATGTCTCAATGTGTATATGACCCGTAGGTTCCCAATGTAAGAGCCAAAAGAGCGTTTATCATCAATGCATTTTACTGGCTGAAAGGTACTGTTGCAAAGCTGAGTATGGAAGCCCTGCACTGGAGAACTGTTTCCCAAAGGCCAATGTAAACAACCATCTGAATCCAAAAGAAAAACCCAGTCTTGTTAAATGGTTACGTGGCAGTCAGTGAAATCTATCTATGGGAAACTAAACCCGCAGCTGAAACCAGTATTTTAGTTTATTTCATTTTTGACTGCTCTTTTTATCCATCCATAAGAACAGTGAGACTTGGGAATGAAGAAGGGTCAGAGGCAGGGTCTTTTTGGTGTTGTATTCTATAATCCAAGGAATTAGAGAAAGTACTACCTCAGAAAGGGGTGTTGCCAGATAATAGATATTATCCCACCCCTTGGCTCATCTGAGTCTCCTGAGAAGGCCAGTTTGCCAAAGGGTAACCCTTGTTCTCAGTGGGGAAACGATTGTCAGGAAGCATGCCCTCACAAACACATGAAGAAGTAAGTAACTGAATTAATCACCATTAAATGGCAAACAACATAATAAGCAGAATTTATTTAATTATAAATAAGTTTTTGTTCGGGTTACTGTATTATGAATTTTAGTGAACATTAGCATAGAAAGGCCAATAATAAAAATTGATTTGAGAACACTGCTAATAATAACAAAATAAACTATTTCTCCCCTCTTTATAGCCCTCTAATTTTCATAACCGGCTTGTGTAAAACTATTAGAAATACACTAGGAAAACAATGAAAAATTGGTAAAGATGAAATTTTCATGGAAGAGGAAATACAAGCGTCCAATAAACATGAAAAAAAAGTGAATCAATAGTAAACCAAATGCAAATTAAAAAATTTTTCAACTTTCAAATTAGCGAAGATTTTGAGAGTGGTTTTGATTTTAAGTAATTCTGCTAACAAGAGTGTGGTAATGTAGGTACTGTCGAAAAACAGTAGTGAGAGGGTAAATGGTTCCATATTTCCAGTAATCTTTAAAATGCTTTTGTGCATTTTTGTGAATTAATATACATAGCATACTGTTCAGTTACAAGCCTCTATTTATAGAGCTACAGCCCCATCAGTCTTCTGGATAGTCCTTCAAAACTCAATGTCACGTTACAA